CAATTCTGTAGAAATGTAGAAAGCAAAGGAGACAAATCTGATGTGCTTCATACTTAACAGTTCATACGCTTTAGTATCTAATAAACACTAAGTAGCTAAGAACCATCCCTTTATACTTTTTATTCAGTCTTTAAACAACAGAGCCACTATCAACTTGGGCAGCTTTTGTCACAGAAGTATTTACAGTTCGTATATTATTAGAAAGTTTCTATTCCTTAGGATATTTGCACAAAAATAAGTGATCAGTAAAAGGCTGACATAACCTTATCAGCAGGAAGCTTGGAAACCTGGCGGTACCAGCTGATGAGAAGTGGAAAGCCGTGTTTGATGAGTGCTGGCATCAGCTCGGCTGTGAGAACCCAGGCCAAGGGGAAGTCTGGAAAGCGTGGGACAATATCGCTGTGGCCCTGACCACCAGTCGGCGCCAGCATAGAGACAGGTGCGTGGATGCCTGCCTAGCACAGAGCCTGGTGGGAGACGAAACCTGAAGCGAGTAGGTCGTTAAGGATTTCTGCATTTAGGTTTTAAGTACAGTTTAGAAGTCAGTGATGTACTTCTGGGTAAGGATGGATAAAACACGCCTCCCTGTGTCTTCTACTGAACTCAACTATTAATATAAAATGCAGGCAGAATACATGGTGAGCTATTCAAAACTCTGAAGAGCACATGTCAGCAGATTATTGGGGGAGAGCACCTGAATTCAGCGTGCCACCCAACCAGTGGAGAGTTTACAAGCTTTTTAACCTCAGCGTTTCTCAGCTTGAACTCAGTATAACTTGAAACTAGACGTACACACTGGGGTGTAGGGATCCAGAAAAACGCCTCGATTTCTGGCTAAAGATACCAGAGACTCCTAGAGCTCAGAAAGAGTGAAGGAGGAACACTGGGTTCTCTCTCTCTGCTTCTCCCCTTTCTCATGCCTCAGCCTACAGACCCTTCTGTGGCAGGACAGCGGTGCAGCAGCTGAAGCAGCCAGGGCTCGCGCGGGGTGGGCCCTTCTCCCTGGTGGGCCATCAGGGCCAGACCTTACTGCCGTGCTGGCTTCTCTCTCTGTCCTCCCACTGCTTTATGGAAGTGGGTAGTTTCAGGCGGAAGCCTTACCTACAGGGGGAATCAGAAAATGCTGGGGAGGTCATAGAGAGAGGAACTTTGGAAAGCAACCCTGATAAGTTGTTTATGAACTCCTGGACTCACCCCATACCTGTTCACGTGTGGATTTGATTCTCGTTAGCAGTCCACCTAGGTCCCAGACCAACGCTTGAGTGGCATTCGCGGAACAGACCCAGACAGGCCTGCATGGCCCACGGGAAGTGGCCTGACACTGAAACCATAGCCCACAGGCAGCTGAAACAGAACACCAGGTGTCTGAGAGACTCCCAGGTCACCCACACATTCAGTGATCCACTGGAGGGGCGCAGTGTGACTCAGCATATAGTTGTGCTCACAGGTCAGAGTTGTTCCAGCAACACGGCAAGGCTCCACAGCCGATCACAGGGAAGAAGACACGCGCAGAGTCTGGAGGAACCCATGTGCACGCTTCCCGTGCTCGCCTCTTCTCTGAGGGCTCACATACAGCACACTCTCCCCCAGGCAGTAAAATGCAGCCCCCCACACACGGTATTTCTGCTTAGCGAAGCCCATCAGAGATGAACCGCCCCCGGTGTTTACTGAGAACCGGTCACATAGGCATCTTAAGCCTACCAGCTGCTAAAATCCCACAGTCCCAGAAGGAATCACATGTTCACCGTAAATCACTTTGTTAATACGGGCAGCACCACAATACCCTTATCAGTGAGGAAATGCTTCATATTCGCATAGGGGATTTGGTTCCCAGGTGCCACCCAAGGGCCAGCTTCATAGGCAGGTCCTTGTAAAGACAACAGTTTCAGTTCTACTGTGTTTACTATGTTTTGGATGCAACATTCTCAATAGGATATAAACAGGACCCAGAATCTCATAGCATAATACTCAAAATGTCCAGGAAATAAACCAGAATTACTTGGCAATCAAAGAACCATGAAATCTCAACTTATTCGGGGAAAGATAATCAACAGACATCCATGACCCCCTAACCTAGATTTTGGAATTATATGACAAGAACTTTAAAGGAGTTATTATAAAAACATTCAGATGAGCAATTGTAAACATCCTTGAAACAAATATTAAAATTGAAAATAACCTGCAAAGAAATAGAGGGTATAAAGAAGAACCAAATCAAAATTGTTGAAATGAAAAATACAGTAAGTAAAATTTTAAAAATCATTGGGTGGACTCAGGAGCAAATAGGAAATGACAGCAGAAGAGTCAGTAAACTTGAAAATAGACTAATAGAAATTATTTAAGCTGAACAACAGAGTGTGGAAAAAAAGTGAACAGAGCTCTAAGGACCTGAGAGTCTTAACATTTGTGTCCTTGGAATCCCAGAAGGAAAGGAGAAAAATTGCAGAGCTGAAAAAATATTTGAATAAGTAGTGATTGAGAACTCCCAAGTTTGGTGAAAGCCCAGCACATAAACCTGCACATTCAAGAAGCCGAACAAACTTCATCCTAGAAAAAAACAGATATCCATGCACAGACATGTGATATTCAAATTGGAAGAAAAAATCTTGAAAGCAGCTACAGAAGAATTATGCTTTACATATATATGGCAATAGCAGTTCAGATGGCTACATCTTTGTTGTCAGAAACTTGGTGGCCAAAAGGAAATGGTACAATGATTTGGAAGTGCTGAAAGAAAAATTACAGATGTACTTTTCATTTCTTTCTTTCTCTTATTTTCTTCCCTTTTCTTTTTCCATCTGCCATTCTTCATATTTCTGTATGTAACTTGGCCAGTCACTTCTGCAAGTGCTGATTAGCATTTGAATCTAAAGAACTTGCCAATCCCTGCAGTATAGAAAGAAGGTTTGGTTTTGTTTTTTCCTGTATTGGGGATCAATGGGAATTGATAATAGTGTTTCATTCATGAAGTTTATGAGTTTTATCTCCTACTGTATTAGTGAAAGAAATGGAAACTCCCAGGATTGATTAAAGCTGTGGATGTGTCCTTATGGGATGCAGTTGGTCACCCTTTGCTGATGGAGCCCCTGGGCCAAGACATTGAGACTTGAGTCCTCCAGTTAACTTTAGTTAACTCTTGTTGGGTGTTTCCAAGAAGTGAGAATGAATGAGTTTTTGTGTAAAACCACATTACTGCCACAAAGATCTTATTTGTTCATTGATATTATTAAAATAGTATCAGTGTTAATTGTGTACTGTTCCTGATTTCTCATTGATTATAATCTAATGATAGAGTGCCAATACGAAAAAGTTCAGTTGATGGCTAGTGTGTGTTTTGTGTTAACCTCTTCATCTGAAGCTTCCCTTTACCCATTGTGTGCGTACCCCACCACCTGCTGTAGTGTCCACATTATCCCCTTACATCTTGAGCCCATTTCCATTTCACCCTTGGCCCTTTGATTTGCTTTCCTTCATCCTTTAGCTCTCCCTCTCCCCTTTATTCCATTTCTGTCCTCACTAACAAGTCTGTCACCAGTTTTCTCTTCAGGCTGACATTACAGTGTTTTTCAACACCAGGGTTTATATCGACACAACATTTTCTTTAATTTATTGTGGTTTGTGTGGAGTAACATTAAGTACTGTTTTAAATAACTTATATAAATCTAATACAGGACAGTTAGAAATTGTAAGCACATTTGGGAACACTGTGATGGTTGCCCCATTTCATCCTTAATAGAGCTTCATGTGCACTTAAAATTATCTTGCTTTCTTAAAATACATGATAGGCTCTCTTTTCCCTTTTTATAGCCCAGAGATACTAAGTCGTTCACAGACTCAGACACTAGAGAGTTTGGAATTCATTCCTCAGCATGTTGGTGCCTTCTCCGTGGAGAAATACGATGACATTAAGAAATACTTAATAAAGGTAAATGAGAATCGGAACCATACTGATCTTGTTAATTAATGATACAACTAACACAGTATATCATTCAATGTACTCACAGGTTATTGTTACTCATATCCTATTTTTGCTTTTTTAATATATCTTTTGTTAATTCTCTGACTGCTAAAAGCACATATCCACCTAAAGATTGGCTGATTGTGATGGTAGAAATTTATAAGTTTTGTAAATGTTCAAGGGGATTTTGGACATCTAGGGTCAGAGTTTAAAATGGCATTCTGTTTGTAACATTGGCAAACTAGAAGTTCTATAAAGAAGGCACTCTGCCCTCACCCCATGGTTACACTGCCTTTGCTTCCCTCTCCAACCCTGTGAAATCAGACCCCAGTTTAAAGTTTGACGTGCATTGATGTAGGGGTGCAGGAAGGAGTACTAGGAGAAATCAAGGGAACTGAGCAGTGACTGTTTCAGTTCTCATTATTCAGTTTTATGCAAGGTAACATTTCATGTATTTTTCTTGACATTTAAGGTATGTTATCTTTCTTTTCTCTTTTCCTTTGGCCAGGCCACACGGCATGTGGGGTCTCAATTCTCTGACCAGAGGTTGAACCTGTGCAGTGCAAGTGCAGAGTCTTAACCACCAGACTGCCAGGGAATGCCCTTAGAACCTTTCTTTTAGTGATGTTATTCTCTATCAGTATATCCAAAGCTGTTTTCCCAAAATGTTAATAGGATTCTTTGATTAAGAGTTCCTACTCCATGTAATTTGGGTAGAATTAATGCTTTCAGAGAAGTTGAAGCATTTAAATATTCCTGGTCCAAAAAGTAGTCTCTTGATGCCTTGAAAATTGTTTATCATTTTTGAAATTGTTTATTTTGATTGTTTCCGCTGTTGGTGCACACTGGCTGCATTGGTTCTCTTCCTGCTCAGGCCTGTGACACTCCTCTGCACCCGCTGGGCAGGCTCGTGGAGACTCTGGTTGCAGTGTATAGAATGACATATGTGGGTGTGGGAGCCAACCGCCGGCTACTGCAGGAGGCTGTGAAGGAGATTAAGTCCTACCTTAAGCGAATTTTCCAGCTGGTGAGGTGAGAGAGCTTTTCATGTCACCAAGGTGTGGAAATACTAGTTTATACTCATGCTTGGGTGGCTTCACCCTGAATCTAGAGATCGCAGCTTTGCAAGGAGTCATCAACGGTTCCCCTTTACTGCAGAGATTATTCATCAGGAAGATGGCTTTATGCCACAGATCCTTCAGGAGGTCAGTGAAAACACACTTTTACTTTGTGTTCATAGCCATTGTAACTTACTTCCTTTATGTCTTTCTTATTCGTTAAGTATAATAGAAGGTTAAAAATAAATTTTTAATTCCAATTTTGGTATGATGTATAGGAGTCTTATTTGGATTTAATCTCTAGGTAAAGTTGTGTCTCTAAAACCTAGCCTAACCTAAAACCTGGAGAAGACAAAGTCTAATAGAAAGTTTTATCCTTGAGTGTTTATATCCTGTTAAGCTTCCCAGGTGGTGCAGTGATAACCTGCCTCCCAGTATAGGAGATGCAAGAGACGCACGTTCAATCCCTGGGTCGGGCAGATGCCCTGGAGGAGGAATTGGCAGCCTACTCCAGCAGTCTTGTCTAGAGAATCCCGTGGACAGAGGAGCCTGGCAGGCTATAGTCCACAGGGTCGCAGAGTGGGACACGACTGAGCACACACACATTCATTAGCTACGCTGCTAATTTTATTCTGTAAGAAGCATTAGTTAAGACTCTTAAGGGAATTAGCATTTTCATTAATAGTTGATATGAAGCTTTATTTAATTGGTCCTTAAGTAGATTAAATAATGGAAATGTGTTTTTACTCTTTTTATTCACTCTAAAGGTGTAACTATGATTTTTTTATTCTTCCTTAGGTTCTTATTTCCTGAGCTTCCTGAAGAGGGCAGCACAATTCCTCTCTCCGCCCCTCTGCCGACCGAAAGGAAATCCTTCTGCACTGGGAAGTCAGATTCCAGATCTGAATCACCAGAGCCAGGGTGAGTAGAGCTGGGTGGAGATGGTGAAGAAGAGGATGGGAACCAAGTGATCTTACACAGAGAATCCCAGGAAAAATTCTTTTCTCTAGATCTGTTTCCTTCTTTTTAAAATAGTTTGGATGGATTAGGTGGTCTCCGAGGTTTCTTTTAGGTCTCAAGTTTTGTTAGCCAAATGCCATGAAACTGTAACCACAGATGACTAGGCACAAAGCCTGATGAGCAAAGTAGATCATTTTGCCCCAGTTCAACAGAGAAGTCAGCCTTGAAATGGAAACACAGTGGGCTTTCATTTAGATTTTGAGCCTATGGAAAGAATTCACAGATGGCCCAAGACAAAACTCTGGGGCCATAGGTAAACTTCTCATGTTAAATCCTTACATAAAAGAAGTAATAGAACTGCTTCTTTACTCAAAATTTCCTACCTTTACTTTCCACTTCTAGAAAATGAAGCTCCATGTTTGATTCTCTGTTCGGTTTTAATATTAAGGGTTCTCCTTCTCCCTGTGCTGTTTTGTAGCTATGTGGTAACAGGTTCCGGGTTACTGCTTCCCGTGCTCCTACCTCGGCTCTACCCACCACTGTTCATGCTGTATGCCCTGGACAATGATCGTGAGGAGGACGTTTACTGGGAATGTGTTCTCCGGCTAAATAAGCAGGCAGACCTTGCTCTTTTGGGCTTCCTTGGGGTGCAGAGGTCAGTACAGTAATTATGAATGGGATCTAGTGGTTTTAACTCAGAATACAAACAGCATTACCAGGAATTTGGTACTTTGATATTTAATTAAATATATGATTTATAGTTTATTTATTTATTGCCTGTCTTTAGCAAAACAGTGATATTTAAAAATCTTTACTTCTGAGAATCTGTAGATGTGAATTTGAAATCTGATTATTCTTCTGAATATATGTAAATAATTTGAGTTTTTCCTGACTGATACTTTGCAGTTCTTCAAAGCCAAGTACATACATTCACATTTTCAGAAAAAGTTAATTGTATTCAGGTCTCTGGCATTCTTCTTTCCCTTCTTTTCTCTTCTCTTCCCTCCCTCCCTTCCCATCCTCAATTTCTAATTAAAAGTTTAGAAGTGCCCTTTTTTATTGTAGGGTGTTGTTTCCTATAATCCAAGGAAACACTCAATAATTATACTTTCTAGAAGTGTTATGATAAAGCTGATTACACCAGCACCCAATAATTATAGATTTGTGCTATTAGAAAAAAGTGATTGAGCCTTAATTGGAAAGTAAATTTTTTCAATGGACTGGTTCAATAGTAAAAACTAAGTAACTGAAATAGTTATTTTAAGTGGGGACTGGAAAGTCAATCTAGTCATTAACTGTTTTGGGGGGGCTTAATCTACCATAAGACACAAACACATATTAACAACATATGGATTCCATTGTAGGAAATTTTGGCCAGTGACCTTGTCAGTCCTTGGAGAGAGTAAAAAGGTATAGTGAATTTTAGTTTCCTTAGCAAATATGCTTTTGTTTGCTGTGGGGGATTAGAGATAGCAAAAAAATTTCCATTTTACTTTGATAGTGTAGTATACAAGAGTAAGTTATTCATTTAAAATGCACATTCTGTGATTGGTGTCACGTATGTTTATTGTCACTGCAAAAGACAGCTTTCTTCTTTGACCTTTATCAGTCCTTTTTTTTTGCAGGTTTTGCCAACCACGAAAGATGCTTGTTTTGCCTCAGCTGTGGAATGTCTGCAGCAGATCAGGTGATCTCTGCTTTGTTGAAAATTATGTAGATCAAACGAGTGGTTAGTTTATTAAGATATTAATGAGATCTTATATTTACCTAAACTCTAGTCCCCCCACACCCAACCCCCCAAGATGGTGTCAAACTCAGCCTGGATATCAGAAAGACTCTTAATGGGTTACCTTTTACTCTACAAGGCCCTTGCATTTACAGAAGTGGTGGAGAACCTACCTAGAAATTTATCTACATAATCATATCTTTAGCCAAATGGAAATTAAGCTTCTTACTCAGCAAAGAGCATGTATTAGGACAGTAAGGTTCCATGTGGGTAAAAGGAGGTGATCTGTGACTTAGTGAATTCTTTCATGTGAACCATTCATAGTTGGAAGCTTCTTTCCTCCAAGAATCATAAGCTTACAGAGGTCATCCCTTCCAGTGACTCCTTCTGCCTGATGTGTCCAGCTTAAGGCACATGAGCCCTTAGAGTATATTATCAAACAATATCAAATGGCTCTACTAAGAAAACAACCAGAGGCTATATTTTGTCATTTATTTTTAGTTTTTAATTTTTTTTTTTTTTTTTACAACAGCACAACGTTTACCCCATCAGACAAACTGAAAGTCATCCAGCAGACTTTTGAAGAGATCTCTCAGAGTGTCCT